CCTTACTACTTACTTAATTACTACTAAGTCGTACTAGTATCTCCTACTTTACACTAAGTTACTCATTCCTCAATCTGAGTTGATGTTTTTTACTGGGATTGTGAATGTCCAAGTTTGTTGTATTCAGCTCCTGTCTGCACATTGCCATAATGGTGGCATCCCACCATTATCGGTGTTTTTTGTGCACACGGGTCAGGTACTGCAGTTCTAGGTTTTTACCCTCAGACTGGCTTCAGCTTCACATGGGTTCTGCCACATCATACGAGTTTTTTTTTAGCAACTCCAGTCCATCGCACTGTGCACACACTATTCCATAAATGACTGGTTACTGCTGGCAAAATCTCGTAAATTATCAGAATATCACATCCTGATTCTACTTTCTGAAACAACCAAGGCAGGTTTCATACTCAAGGCTGAGACATCTATTCCTGCTCCAATTCAATATGCCATCAGCCTTGTTTTATTTATTAAGAGATCATAAACATTGATTCACTGGATTCCACAGTTTCCTCAGTCGGGATCATTCTTTGATCTTGAGGGGTTGTTCAGTCAGGACACTACTAAGATATGGGTTCCTCTACCACCACCTCGTCCAGAGTTCCATCTTTTCATGAATGGCTTGCTTTAGGGATGGGGTACATTTACCAACAGTCAGAAATTCTAGAGTCTAGACACAGATGACGAGGCTTCCCTACACAATGTTTTAGTCCTTCTTGCTCTTCAAGAGGCAATGCCTTATGGTCTGGGCTTATTAAGGGGAAAATCATCAGGCTTCACTCTAACAATTCTGTGGTGGTGTCTTATGTTTCTCATTGAGGAAGTATTTGGTCCAGGGATCTTTGTTTTTGAATTTTGGACTTCCTTTCTCGAGACCATCCCTATCATATCACCCTACTAGCTTGCCATGTTCCATGGGTGATGCCTATGGTAGCAGGTCAATTGTCTCAACTCAGACAGATTTTCCTGACAGAATAGATGCTGCATTGCAAGTTTCTATTAGATCGACTCTCTTTTTTTGCACCTCTAATTGGTGGGTTGGCCTCTCATTGGATCACCCAACTACTGGCAATTTGGTCACCAGTACATCACCTTCAGGCTTTAGGAATGGATGCATTCCATCAGGACAGGATGAGATTACAACTCTAGGCCTTCCCTACAATTCATATCTTACCCAGGGTACTTAATATGATTTGTTCCAACCCATTGTTGAGTCCTGTTGATAGCACCTGATTGGCAGCTACACCCTGGTTTCTTCTGCAGTACCTTCCAGAAAGTTCAACTGTTCCACTTCTTAGGCCATCTCTGTGGAGGCAGCCAAAATCTGACATGGTACACTCAATTATCAAGGAGCTCAAACTAAAGGGATAGAGGTTATGCAGTCTTTTGCATAGCATTGGACTTTAATTTTTAGGGTTGCCATGTATTTGTCACAGTGTTTGTTTTGTCCCAAGATGAACATCTATCAATGGAAATGATACAGATATTGGTAATGGTGTATTGAGAGGAGGTTGAACCCACTTTGATCAGAAGTGCTGACCATAACTTTTTTTTTTTTACCTGGCTCTTTGGCAAGGGTTTTTGCATATTCCACAATCACCCGGTTTAAGGCAGCCTTATCCACTACCATTCAATTCTCGTGACTAAATATTCTTTGAGTCCCCAGTACTCTCCAGATTCTTCAAGTCGCTTTGGGTTCTTGGTCCCAAATGACCATTCCTGCTACCTAACAGGTATATTAAGGTTATATTACACATTCTTTTTCAACACTTGTTTGTGGCCTGATTTTTATATGTCATATATCCCCTTTACCTGTTTATTTTTCGAGGCTGCTGACCTAAAGACATCACTGGTCAGAGTTTGCACTGTTTGTCCACAGACTGCTTTCTCATTCTCTCTATGTCCTCAGACCTGTTCTTCTTATCCAAGACACTGTCAGACAGAGAAGGGGATAAATCCTTTTCATTGATTGATCTGATCACTATTTCTCATTTCTATGTCCAAACAGATTTTGATCATAGTCATGTTCAGTGAGGGTCTTGAAAGTTTTGTTGCCTGCACTAATGCTTTTAGAGATGTTAGACAATGACTTTTTATTGTGGGCTCTCTTTGAAGGTGAGATATCTTCTGCAAGTCACACCTAATCATATTTGTCAAATTTCTATGTCTTTAGTGGCTTGGTTGATTTGTCTGCTGAAGGATATTGTGCGGACTGATATGTGGATCTCCCCCAATACTTTTATCTGACATTATTTGCATGATCTGGCAGTATCTTCATCTGAGGATTTTTGCCTAACCCCTGTAGCTATCTTAACCATTTCTGCTAGAGAAGTGAGAATTTTCATTGCTACCTTTCAGGGTCCCTTACCCCATTTTCACAGGATCCAACTCTTTGGTGAGTGTTGCCCAGGCAGGTGTTTTTTTCAAACCAATTCCACACAAGCAATCACTAATTCGGTATACTTTATACAGGTTGCAACAGACTCTATAGAAATGAGGTGTTTCATAAGAACACCTAGAGGCTGACCTGGTGGTATTTTTATACTATGATGGACTACCATAAGTAAAGCATAGAGATTCTGACCATCCCTGTCGATCTTTGGATTGAATAAATTGGGGTCGGTTTGCTTTTAAAAATATATGGAACTTGGTTTATCTATTGCACTGTTTCCCAGGACTCCCCAGCATGCATTAGCCACCAATGTGGGATATAGTGACTATAACCCTTTAATTACAACCCTGAATAGTGGAACCTTGGCTATCTAGTTGGGGCCTGGCCTATAGTGATAATAAATCATGTAACATTCCACCCATAATACAGGAATTAAGTTCTGGGTGAAGAGCTTACCTGTTCTGGATGTAGTGCAGTTTCCCTACTAAGATGCCAATCTATATTGACACACTCATGATCTATGCAAACGCTTTGTGTGTGGATAATGCCTTCACCGGCTCCTCCACCTTATCAGTGTGGGATTCTAGCTATAAGTGTGAGAGGAGGTAAGTATGTTTTGAAAGTTAACATTTTCTTAAATTGAAAATGTATTTCCAATAATACTTACCTCCCCTCACACTCTCCCGCTCTTCCTACCCACTGTTAGAGACTGGGATTGAGTCAGTCTCGAAAAAAGTGATAACATTATATGAATGAAATGCTTATACAAAGTACCAGGATAGAGGGCACGTAACATAGGTGGAGAGTATCACAAGATAAATATCACCAAAGGCAACTGAGTGGGGTATAAAAGACTAGAGCAAAAGAGAACAAATCAGACCAATGCTTACATGGGCAAAAGAAGAAACCTAGGCAGTTGAGTAATAGCTATAAGTGTAAGAGGAGGTAAGTATTATTGTAAATACATTTTCAATTTATGAAACTGTTAACTTTAGAAACCGACACTGTTCTCACAGTAATGTAGTTAGTAACATAATTATACAGGTTTTGATACTCATGGTGAGCAGAGCACAGATAGCCCATTGTGCAGCTTTGTGCTTAACACAAACATAATTATACTATAATATTAGAGAAGATTATGAAGCAACAATAATATTCTAAACATTGTTAAAAGTCTAGAGAATAAGTTAACATATATTTTCCCATCCAACAGTTCTTGTACTACTAGCACTAGCTCTGATGAAGTTGCAGGAGCAAACTGTTGACTGAAATAAATTTTATTATGAGCTGGAGAGTAAAGGTCTTTTTTTCTTTTGTAGCTTTATTGGCAAAATGTCTTAAGCCTCGAACATGCACTACAAATTCTGAAAAACAACAAAATATTTCCATATATATTGAAATCACATTATACAAATTTGATAATTTATTGTCTTATTGAGGTTCAACTTGAGTTAAAATCAAGAAAATACAGCTTTGTGTAATTAGATATGTGTACAAGTCACTAAATAGTAAGTAAATTGATAAAAGATAGCTTGATAATGGGTGGCTTGGAAGGGATAAGGTGAATTTTCCAGAATAAGAAATTAAGGTTTATGTAGGTTTTTTGATCTGTTGGTTCAATTGTTAGTTAATAAAAAATATATATTGATTGATGTTAAGAGTTTAGATAACAAACTGTGTCTAGAAAACAAACTCAAAGACTGATATAATTGCAGTTTCACAGTAGCACATGATTTTGATCTGTTATTTCCATTTACACTCAGCTTGGTCAGAGGCAATTCTTTGTCCATTAATAATTATAATTTTTGTATTTTTCTTAATTTTTAAAAAAATTTTCAGGCTGAACAATATTAAGTATATATTTTACATAATTAAATCTTTGTTTTTAGTTTTTCAGATATTTTGATTAACCTTCTATATATAGTCTTGGTCATTTTGATCAACCTTGCAGCCACCATGTAACCACCCTGAAACTAAACATAATAATTACATGCACAAAACATGCAATGACCCTATCATTATTATTATTTAACTAGCTTTCTAACTAAGCTAAATGTGTGTTGAAATAATTCCACTACCTGGTCGAGCTGATCTCAGTGATAGCAATTTTGAATCTGTACACTGAATAATTCAAAAGCTGCCTTCAGAACAAGGTAGCATTATACATAAATGAGTAAATTATGCTTTTTTTCTATTGGTTATGAATAATTTAGCAGCAAATGTTAGAGAGAGAATTATTGATATTTTTTGAAAGGCAGTATGTGATAGGAGGGCATGGTATGCAGGTTGGACGTTTTGGCTTGTATCTTAGTAAAGCAAAATGATTGGCAGTTATATAGTTAAATTATGTTTTAGAAATATCTATAATACAAATTTCTAATTTCCATGAAACTCAGAATCATAAATATTTGTGGAAAGATTATCAAAAATGTGCAGTTTGGAGTGAACAAGTGTCATGTGATGCAGAAAAGTTGAGACTGAGAATTTATTTAAACATATCGTTTTGAATTTAAGAAATTAAAACTTGTGTTAAAAACTTCTCTATCAACTACATATTGATGTTAAGTTTACTGAAATGCATTGATGGTAAAGCAGTTTAATTAACTTTATAATGTGACTGTACAAAAGTGGTGGCATGTGCACTTTTACCTACCCATATACAGCGTGTTAAATCTGCTGTCCCCAACCCCAAAATGATAATTTTTGTTTTGTCACTTAACAGCCAATTTATGGGTACAGTAGTCCAGAACCTCTTCCATCAGTTTTTGTGAAAGAAGCAGAAGTTTTTTGTCCAGAAGATAGAGAGGTTAACCTTTGTAATTTAGCAACCAGTTTGGGAGTCTTTGAGCAATCTAGACAACCAGAGGTTCAAGGTGAGTTTCAAAGTAGGCTTTCACATTTGAAGAGTGCAATTTAGTTTTTGTTTGGGTTGTTTTGTATCCACAGAAAGATAATTCATTCACTTGATTGATGATAAATAAACTATTAGGAAAAATATAAAATTTCTGTTTCCATTGCTATAAGTGTAGTTTCATTTTAGTTAAGAGACATTACATGAGTTATGTAATGGATAATGACAAATTTCCTTCACTTTTATTCAGAAGTTTATCAGGAATTTTAGTTAAACTAAACATTGCAATATAAAGTGGAGTTTAAAGATTTAGCTACACTATGAAGCATGATTAAAAAGAGTGTTAGGTTAAAAGAAATGCATGTACTACAAATATTTTATTAATAATAAAGCAATTCAAATAGAAAATAACCATGTCTTTACTTGAGATAAGTGATGGTTAATGTAGAATTGTTTCCCTGCAAACAATGTTTAGTGCCAGTGATTTCACAGTTTAAATCATGGACTTTTTTGTTTACTGCTCTAACAAGGTTTTACAGTGTGATTTTGATAACTTTTATTAAACATCCATTCAAGTAAGTGATATTTTATTTTCCCATTGGTTATGAAGTTTATACATAGCATTCATATTGCCTTCAATCACTATGAGTGACTTATGTTCACATAAGTAACTGAAGAACAAGTAACTTCCCTATTATTTATCAGAGCTGGATAATTAACTCAATCATTAATCAAATAGTGTTGATTAAGTAGATTAATGCCCACAAATTATCAACTAATCAAAATTAAGTGTTTCTAATTACTACTGTTTTTGATTATTTCAACTATCTGTCATAATATAAAAGACTGTTTAGTGTAGGTAGTTATAATTAATTATTTTGTGAGTTGATATTTCATAATTGTTTAGTTTTTTTATAATAAGAGAGTTAAAAGCAGACAATTATTGGAAGTTGTATTTGTAATTCATTAATGTTGAGGCTATTGAACCTTGCCTGAAATTTATTGATGTCTAGATTATAAAGATTTCTAGAAGGTGAGCAGATGATTAAGTGATAAATACGTAAATAGTGTGAGACAAGTGGGAACAGCAGACAGACAGAGCAGACGAGAAAGCAAAGTCATGGGAAGTAGAAGTTTGGCCAAGGAAAGTTAAATGTAATGGTTAACTGCTATAGGAGTGAATGGCCTAACTATTAATATAGGCCTAACAATTAATATGTTAGAGGAAAACTAACAGTTTTAAAAGAGATAAGAAGTATAGTTTATTCCATCAAAGCGAATTCTAAAGTAACTGAACCAGCCTGAGTGCACTTTGACAAAATGAACAGATGATATCTGAAGTACGAGGACCACACAATTACAGGAAGAGCAGTATACGATTGTGATAACACAATGAATTGTACATGGAATACTAGTGCGATAGAAATAGAGAAAAGTATTTTGGCTTGTCAACTGAAATTCTAAAGCAATTGAATAGTCCTAATTGGACTTTTGACAACAAGAAGAGAACTATATAGTGTTTATGATATGCCTATAATCTGTATAGTGTAAATAATTTGTTGTACATATGTTTAACTAGTTTGAATATATATATATATATATATATATATATTATTTAGAAAAGAAGTGGAGTGTGTGCTTTTTATTTATTTTTGAATTTATTGGCAACAAGTCACAGACACTGCAGAAGAATCCTTAGTCCAACACACAGCATATATATTTATACTTACAATATAAGTATAAGTATGCCTAGTTTCCTAACACTATTAATATAGTCAAAATATTGCCAGTGTGATTTCTCATCATTATTTTTAATTAATTCAAGGTTGTTCAGCATAATTGATCATTGTCATGACTCAAGAAACTAATCAACAAATCTAAAATAGTGAGTGCAGATAGCCCTCGTGTAGCTTTGCGCGAAATTCAAAAACAAAC